CAACTGGAGCAAATGCAGAAGCAGGAGGACTAGCCACCAGTGGGAGTGCCCTCTGAGTTTGATTTAGCAGGTCTTAACTAGATCCGCTAAATCAAATTCCAGAAGATCGATCGTGGCAGCATTGCTCTTCTGCTTAGTGAAGCTATGGCCTTAGTTATTTCCCCAGCATGGGTGAGGTCATGGAGCGAGCAAGGGGCTCAAACAGCCCTTAGGAGTTGCACAGTGTGGTGGGACGGAATAGGAGCAGGGAGCAAATTTGGAAACACTGGAAAGCCAGTTGGGGTGGGAAAACTTAGCCATAGCTACAGAAACAAGTGTCACGTTCCTTGTAAATATGGGCCTGCAAGGAGGGGCGGGCACGTAGCCAGTCAAAAGGCCACTTTTTGGACCTTTTGACATAGTTTGTGCCCTCCTGTTCTACTTGCACTTTTCTCCCCACCGCCCTGTGGGCTCCCAGCTCTAGGGATGCTTAAAGTGTCTTTACTTACCTGTTTGCTCCCACCCTGCCATTCTAGCACAGCAGAGGCCAACATGGCTGCTAGTTGGTTGCTTCCCTCTCTGGGCATCAGCCCTCTAGGTGGATGGGCCATGCAGAGCTTTGTGGGGTGTGTTGCACAGATTGGATTCTAGGGTGAGTATGGAGGCCCCGACAGGCCAGCTGAAGGAAGGCCTTGTTGCCACAGCCTGCTGTTGGCGATTGGTAGCAGTCGAGGTAGCCAGACTTGGGTCCAGCCCGTGTGTGCTAAGCTCTGTACAAACCCAACGGCTTGACAGTGCCTCTTGTCGCTGAGGGGTGCAGAAAAGGGCCTGTTTAGGCCCCCACCAAATTCACAGTCATAGGACTTTTCAAACGGTACATTTCGTGAGTTCAGCTATTTAAATCTGAAACTTCAGGGTATTGTAATTGGAGGGATCCTGACCCAAAAAGGAGGTGGGGCGTGCAAGGTTATCATAGGGGCGTTGTGAGGCTGCTGCTGGTTGTTGGCGCTAGCGGCTGGCTGGGAGCTCAGCTCGGAAGGCAGCAGCGCAAAGGTAAGGGTGGCAGGACATGCTGGGCCCTCAGTCCGCAACATCCATAAAGCAACATCCCTATTGACCCCCCTGAAACTCCCTTTGGTGTCATGACCCCCAGTTTGAGAAATGCTGGTGTCCCCCATGACATCTGTACCATGCAGGGTAAAACCACACTTCACAGGCCGGGGGGGGACCAGAGTTCATGGTCTGCGGTGTGTTTTTCCTGGCTATGAATGTGATAGGGCCCTAAGTAGGGTACAGTTTGCCCCTCCCAACATGCTCAACTTGCTCTCCCCACTGGTGCTGTTCTTTTCCCAGGCTCTCTCCTCGGCCTCAAGCACCCCTCTCCTCCAGCAATCCCGTCTCCCGCGCAGCTGGGCCTCTGCTTTCCCTCCCCGGCTGGCCAGAGCCCGGGTTGCCGGGGACTGACAAGCTGTTTGAGGTCGGGCCTGTCGTGGCCAGTGACAAAAAATGTTCCAATAAGTCGGGGCTGAGACTCAGGGGTCTGTTCTCGTTGGGCTGTGGAATCGAGGGCTTTCCCGGGGACGAGGTGCCCAGTTCCAAGGAATTCGGTGGGAGTTGGGCATCTGACTCCTTTCCCCCTTTTGAAAATCTCACTCAATTTCTCCGTGGTTCAGGTTCCCTCTCAGCGATACGGGGCAGGCACTAGCCCCCTGCCACCCAGCAGCAAGGCGTGGCCAGACGGGGGCAAACAAGTCGTCCACACACTGCGCTCCCCGGCTGTGACCGTGGTCGGCGCCAACGTTCCTTCAGTAGACGGTGCTCGGCTCGCTGGTGCGTGACGCCCTTTGCCATCCCTGGGTGAAAGGGCTAAGGGGGGGAGTCAGCAACCTCTGGCTGGCTGGGAAACTGAATAGGGCTCTTTGGCAGCCGCTGGCAGTACGCCCGGGCCCCAGGAGCAGCCGCCACGCCCCGAGGCTGCCGGGGTGGGGCCGAGTGACAGGCAGCTGCCGGAGCAGGAGCTGGGCCGTGATGCGGTTGTGCCTGGGGCCGCACCACAGGGCCAGGGCCAGCTTCGATACGCAGGGCAGCCGCCCGTCATGCAGCCCTGGCCCCAGCTTCAGCCCTTCCCTAGACCCCCCTGGGGGGGAGGGGACGAAGCCCTGCCCTTGTGGGGGCTCCCAGTGGCCCCTACCCATCCCAGGACACGCCTGGGGGCCGCAAATCATGGCCTAGAAGCCCCTCTGCCCCAGGACAAATGGGGCTGTGAACCGTGGCCTGGCAGCCTCCCCACTTCCAAGAGATACTGGAGGGGGGGGGGAGCAGTGGCCCCCCTCCCTATCCTGGGACACATCGGGGGGAGGGGGGGTCAACCAGGATCCACAGCCCAGCATCCCTCCACCACAGGACACACCAGTGCAGGCCCAGAAACCACTGCCCCCCAAAGGAGACATGGCGGGGGGGGGGGGGACTGCCATCTACTCTCTGACCCGGAGGAGATACCTGGGGGGGGTCCAGAAACTGTAACCCCCCCCCCCAGAGAAGCACCATCTTCATCACTGTGGCAGCCCTGGAAAGCCCCCCCAGACCTCTCAGCCCCCTGCCCCTTAGCCCTCCACCCCCTGCCCCGCTTCCCTCTGCACTACGCCCCACCACATACCCAGCCCCTTACACTGCACCCTCCAGATTCTGCCCTCAGCCCCCCACCCCTCCCAGCCCTGTGCTCTCACTCCTGCACCCCCACCCTTGCCATGAGCCCCACACACACCCAACCGCTGCCCTGACTCCCACATGCTTTGTTGACCGCTTATTCTGAAGTGTGATGTAGTTTGGCGCTCTGGTTTGACAAAGTTGCCAGCCCCTGTGCTAAGGCAAAGGGAGCAGTATTGTGGATCGTGTGCAGTCCAGTGGGTGGGGGTGGACTTCGATTTAAACTAGGGGCACAGACGAAAAGGCAGGATACATCAGCTGCTAAAGAACTTTCCATATTTATTGTACGTCGTTTTTTTGTTTTGACCATACACATCTCATGCCAACGCACAGGAGGCATAATACAAAGAAACGCACCAGGTTCTGTTTTGCTTTCCAAAGACACATGGCAATCAATTAAGTGTTTTAATGATGGATTTTGTTTTCCCAGGAAACAAGACTTCACTTTTGGAACTGTACAAAATTTACACTGCCCGGGGGCGGCTGTGGTGGACTGGGAAGGAGGGATTGGTGAGCTGTGGAAAGGAGCCATACTACGGTCAAAACTGCATTTAAAAAAAAATACAAGCAGCTTCCGTGCTAACAGGATCCACGATGCTATATTTGTTCCGGGTCTTTCTTCTGCTGCTGGAGTAGGTATCTGTGGGGCCCGGGCAGGAAGCTGGCTCATTCCCCAGCGGCTAGCCCAGGGGAGAGCCAGTTGGGTTTGTTCTGCCGGGGCGTGAGCTCTGTTTTTACCTCAGGCGCTGGCTGCGTCTGTGCCGTTGGGGCAGCTCCTGCAGAGTAACCAGCCGACAAATCCGCGTGCCCGGCTGAGGTGCTTTTCGTTTCGCTTTCAGCGGGCGCAGGGCCCTTGGACGGCAGGCAGCAAACCCCAGCTTTGTGGCCGTCGGCTGCAGCCCCCTGGTTCTGGCTTTGAAAGTGCCGTCTGGAAACGTGAGCATCTTCCCCCGCACGCCTGCCTCGCTGAGGGGCAGCGCTCGAGCAAGGCCTGGCTGCCTGGCGGAGAGCTAGGCGCTGTGGACAATGGGACGCCTGCGTTGGACCAGCATGCACCGGGGTGCTCTTATGGAGAACTTGACTCTTCAAGGGCCAGTAAGGGGGGATAGAGGGCTATGTGCTTAGACAGTGCAGGTTCTGGTTGAGGGACAGGTCATTTATACCAGGCTTAATCCTTCCTCCAGGTCCCAGCCAGCCTGGAGCTTGGAGGAGTGATCCGCAGAGTTCTCTGGGATACGCTTGCTGGTGCCTTTCAGTGCAGCTTGAGGGTCAGGTGGTCACAGGCGGCCTGGGTGGCTCAGGGTGAAGCTGGCATGCTGGGGGGGGGGTCGCTCTTGCCCATAGGGGGCAGCTGGCTGGAGAGGGAGGGGGGAATCCTTAGGGTCTATTGAAAGGCAATGGAATCTGCTTTGCCGAACCTTGGGCCCTTCAAAAATTCACCTTCGGGGGAAGCCCTATAGGCACCTTTTGGCCATAGGCTTTGAACCATCCTTTAGAACTTGTGCGCCTGCTCCATACGCTACAGGGAGGTGTAAAAAACGACCCTCTCGCGAGAGGGTCTCGGTCTTCGATTCGGCAGCATTTTAGAACCATTCCTGC